GAATCTGGGGATAAAGAATCTGTGGATTCAGAGGGCTGACTGTAATCTTTGCTAAGGTGCTTGGTAAAGTAGGCAGTGAAGCAAGCATGGTGCAGTGGTTGGAGTGTTGGGACTACGACTGTAGAGACCAGGGTTTGATTCTCTGCTCAGCAGTGGAAACACTCTGGGTGATCTTGGGCAAGTCACATACTCTCAGCCTCAGAATGCCTCAAAGTGTTAAAGTGATCATAAGTTGGAAATGACTTGAAGGCGCAAAACAACAGTAACAACAAGAAGGTTGTTGTTAACTGCTCTTGAGTTGTCCCCAACTCATGGAGACTCTGTGGATGAGACACTTCCAAGACCGCCAGTCCTCAGCTGCTCTGCTTAGTCCCACAGATTCATGCCCATGACCTCCCTAATTGAGTCCATCCATCTAGCATGTGATCTTCCTCTCTTTCTGCTTCCGTTCACTTTTCCCAGCATTGTTGTCTTTTCTAAAGAGTCCTGCCTTCTCATGATGTGGCCAAAGTCTGGACCTTATCACAAGGGGGAAATCCCATGAAGAAATGGGGTTTCAAATAGAAAAAGACCCACAAAAGCGGGTAGATTTCAGACAATATTGATGTTAAACTGTTGTTAACCCAAACGGAAAGTAGTCAAAAGCTGCTTCTTTTTACTTTCAGAAAATCCTGAAAATAAAAAGGAGCAGCTTTTGACTATTTTCCGTTTGGGTTAACAGCAGTCTAGCAGCGATGTGTGTGAAAATCAAGCCACTTTTGCAGGTTTTCCCCAACTTTTAAATCCCGTTTCTGCACAGGACCCTATGCAATAAGGTCCTATGACAGCTTCAATTTAGCCATGTTGGCTTCCGGGGAGAGTTCTGGCTTGATCTTTTCTAGGACCTATTTATTTGTCTTTTTGGATGTCCATGGGATCCTCAGCACTCTTCTCCAGCACCACATCTTGAATGAATTGATTTTCTTTTTATCCGCTCTCTTCACTGCCCAGCTCCTGTATCCGTAATGAATGCTGGGAAATGCAATGGCCTGGACGATTCTAACTTTAGTATTCAATTGTATGTCTTTACTCTTTATGGTCTTGTCTAATTCCTTCATAGCTGCCCTTCCCATTCCTAGTCTTATGATTTCCTGACTGCAGTCCCCGTTCTGATCAATCCAAGGTACAGGAAATTTAACTATTTCAATTTCCTCATTGCCTAGATCTGTCGGAGATGGCACACGAAGCCATTTTCCCCAGCATGTGAAGGGCGAGGAGGAGGAGGAGGAGGAGGAGGAGGAAGAGGAAGGAAGAAGTCCTGCCCCAGAAGTCCCGCCACCGGAGGGCAAAGGTATTGCCCCCGGGGTAACACCTGGTGCTGGAAGGCCTTTTAGGGCCTAAGCAGGCTGCCAGAAATAGTGCACTTTAAACTGAGGCACTGCCCTGGCTCAGTGCTAGGGAATCATGGGAACTGTAATTTATTGTGGCACCAGAGCTCTCTGACAGAGAAGGCTCAATGTCCCAGAAAAAAATACAGTTCCCACGATTCCCTAGCACTGAGCCAGGGCAGTGCCTCAATTTAAAGTGCACTATTTCTGGCAGTCTGCTTAGGCCCTTAGTTTGGGCACTCGGCCCCTAAAAGATTCGCCATCACTGGTCTAGGTTGAAATCTCGTTCCTCCATGATCATTATTTTTGTTTTCTGTAAGTTCAGCATTAACCCTGCCTTAATGCCTCAAGACTTAGGTCCAAAACACACTGCAGAAATAATCCATCTTGAGATCGCTTTAACTGTCCTGGCTCAGTGCTAGGGGATCCTGGGGATTGTAGTTTATTGTGGCACCAGAGCTCTCTCTGACAGAGAAGGCTCAATGTCTCACAAAACTACAGTTCCCAGAATTCCCTAGCATTGATCCAGGGCAGTCAAAGCGGTCTCAAACTGGATTATTTCTGCAGTGTGTTTTGGACCTTAGACTGTCATACTTGGACACATCATGAGAAGGCATGAATCATTGGAAAAGACAATAATGTTAGTAAAGGTGGAGGGAAGTAGGAAGAGAGGAAGGCCACGTGCCAGATGGATGGACTCTGTTAAGGAGGTCACTATATAGGTATTAAATTAAGGGGTTGCAGGAATTAAGCAGAGCAGTGGAGGACATTGAGTCTTGGAGATGTCTCATCCAGAGGGTCACCAGGGGTCCAGATTGACACGAAGGCAGTTAACAACAACAAAATGCTTCAAGATGGAAAATGCAGTTGGAAAAGAGGAAGGCCCCATTTCAGGCGGCTGGACTTCAATCAAGGAAGCCAGGGCCCTGAGTCAATAAAAACTTGACCAGGGCTGTTTTTATCGACCCAGGGCCCTGGCTTCCTTGATTGAGGGAGGCTTGGAGGCCTCTCTTGTTCATAGGGTCACCATAAGTCAGGGGTAGGCAACCTTTCCCTTTAAGGGCCGAGGGACTTCAGCTCCCAGAAGCCTCAGCCATGTTGGCCAATAGTCCCATGTTGGCCAATAGCTCCTGGGATTCTGGGAGCTGAAGTCCCTCGGCCCTTAAAGGGGAAAGGTTGCCTACCCCTGCCATAAGTCAAAGTTGACTCAGCAGTAGTTCTTCTCAATCTTTGACTTCATCTGCACTGAAGAAATAATCCAGGTTGACACCACTTTAATGGCCATGGCTCAGGGCTTTGGCATCCTGAGATCTGTAGTTTGTTGTGGCACTAGAGCTCTCTGACAGAGAAGGTGAGATGTCTTACAAAACTAGCTCCCAGGATTCCCTAGCACTGAGTCAGGGCAGTTCAAGCAGTCTCAAACTGGATCATTTTGGCAGTGTGGATTCAGACTTGAAAAACAGAACCATTCTGGCTCAGCACAGATGCAGTTCTTGTTGTTATTATTATTATTATTATTATTATTATTATTATTATTTATCTGTATCCTCCTCTTACCCTAAAATTGGGACTCAAAGTAACTTACAGTTTAAAAGCATAGTACCATTCAAAAACATACAAAAGTGATCATAAAAATGGAATTAAAGCACTGCAATATTAAAACACATCCTTTGCTTAAAAACAGCAATACAAGTTAAAAAGATTTTTTAAAAGCAACACTTTTAAAAAACCATACACTTTAAAACAGTACAACATCCCCAGGATGAGTTACCCACAAAAGTGTGTACTAGGAGGGCCCCCTTGGAGCATTTTACAGGGAGAGCAGGGCTCTCCTATAAAACTACATTTCCCAGAGATCCCTCCGTGGGCAGACCGGAATGGGCGGGGCCACCGACGTGTCACCGAGGGTCTTAAGAGCTTAGCGGGTAATGAGCGGAACGGACGGCGCTGAAGGGTCTGTGGAACTCTGGAACTACAGTTCCCGGCGTCCCCCGCGCCTCAGGCGGAAGCTAGGTGGGCGACCTTGCCTGCGTGGGCTCTTCTGGGTTGATTGTGGCTTTGGGTTGGGAATGCTGAGAAGGGTGCATGTGGCTTTTTCTCTCTGAGGGAACCACACGGCGAATATGTCTGCTTTAATGGAGTTGAGCCATTGGTTTTATACGTTTTTAAAGATGGTTTTTAAATGTTTTATGTTTTTATTGTAATTTTTTTTTGTGTGTGCCTGTGAGCCGCCTTGGATCCCTTTTGGGAGAAAGGCGCCATACAAATAATAATAATAATAATAATAATAATAATAATAATAATAATACATTAAATTAAATTATTTTATTAATTTAATTTAATTAATTAATTGCAATTTCAAGTAAAGGATTTCATTATTATTATTATTATTACTACCATTACCATTATTGTTGTAATAATAATAATAATAATAATAATAATAATAATAATAATACATTGTATTTATTTATTTAATTGCAATTTCCAGTAAAGGATTTCATTATTATTATTATTATTACTACCATTACCATTATTGTTGTGTTACTGTTATTGTTATTATTTTAACCTTCTGCTCTCAAAAGCTTGGGTTCCTTCTGCACAAGGTCGTCCTCTTTCTTGTGCCTTTTGAGTACTTTGCTGACCAGACTCTTCCCTGAAACTCCCTCAGAGTCAGGGCTGCTTGCTTGCTTGCTTGCTAGCTAGAGAGTCTTAATCCAATAGATAAGCAGTGCATTGCCCAGGGTGCAGGACCAGACTTGTCCTCCTTTTCCAGGACGCGCCCTACATTTCAGCCTCCTGTCCAGCAGGAATTCCCAAATGCCCTCCATTTTGAGCAGGGCTAAGAGCCATGGATTTTACATTGCTAGGAGTGTTGGTTAGGTTTTAATGCTCCATGTCGTCCATTTTTCTTGAATGCCCTACATTTGCAGTGCCTTCTCCTTCTTTGCAGTTAGGGCATCCGGTCGCCTTGCCGGATAGATAATTTCAATAACTACAATAACTGTATACTTGGAATTGTTATAAGCATTGCTTGTAACTATATAATGTGTGTATGTGTGTGGGGAGCCCAAGCAAGTAGCCATATGGTTCAAGTTTAAAAACAAAGTGCAGAATATAGATATATATATATATATATATATATATATATACATACATACATACATATATATGTGTATATATATATATATGAACTCCCCTCCCCTTGAAAATTTTGCAAAGATGATGTGAGTTCTCCCAGGACTCTCCCATCAAGCGTGTTGGGACAAAACATGGGAGCAAAGAGAAGAGACAAAAAGCCCTAATAGTCTAGCCCTTATTATGTCACTGTTTCTGAAGCTGTCGGATGTTTGCAGCAGGTTCTGTAAACCAAGAAGAGGTTAAAAATACCAGCTTTCTGCTCACTGGGATGCCCGATTCATGGCGGTTCTCCATCGCCACCAAACAGGGATATTGTCTGTGAGTTACAGTACATGAAGACTGACACCACAATAAACCAAGTAACTAGCACCTTAAAAGAGAGTGTTAAACATCACAGGGAGAGCCAGCATGGCGCAGTGGTTTGATCGTTGGACTATGACTCTGGAGACCAGGGTTCCAATCCTTGATCAGCCATGTAAAGGTATTGGGTGACCTTGGGTAAGTCACACTCTCTCAGCCTCAGAGGATGGCAATGGTAGGCCCCCACTGAAGAAACTTGCCAAAAAAAACTCCATGATAGGTTCACCATAAGTTGGAAAGGACTTGGAGGCAAATAACAACGACAAATATCACAGGGCTTGGCATTGCATTGCTCATTCCTGGATCTTTATTCAATACAAATAATGAGCTGCTGAAGGAGGAAGTTTCTGCACCCCTCAAGCGCTCATGACAGGTTTTGGGACACCCTAAGGTTATGTACCTCTGCTTCTAGAGGATTATCTTCTCCGAGATATCCCAGCATGATTTGTCCCCCGTTCCTTTGTTTTTACAGTTAGCTATTGTTTGCTGAACAGAATGTCGGTGGAGTTCAGGGATCAATGGCTGTCTGAGACATGTGCCACAGATTAAATCTATTAATGAACTCAGTGCCCCCAGATTCTGTTGAAATTATTAGGTCTGTACTATTCAGCCGTTAATCAGCAGCTATGTGAAGCAGTTTAACTAGTAGAAAAAGCAAGGTACCAAAACATGTTTTACCACAATAATGTATTGCCACACTGACCAGCATTTTCAGAATTGTTAATACTGTGAGTATTTTATGCCTCTTCTGAATCTCTCCAATGTATTTACCCCTAGACCTGATGTTTTACAAGGCTGAAATTATCTAGCAGTTCCCATTTCACAGCTTCTTAATGATCTGAAACTTTGGCCTGAAAAGCTTTCTTTGGCCAGAGAATACTACCAAACCACAGCTAACTTCAGTAGAAAAGAATAGGGATCATGTGTACCCTACAGTCAAATTTTGGTCTCCTCCGATCATAACATCGATGTCCTCTGTCAGATGTCAGAGTACTGTCCAGCCCAAAACCTTCCATACGGACAGAAATACAGCCGAAATACAGACTGTTGTACATCACACACTATGCCAACAATGGGATTTTGAATCCCACAATCTGCAGTGTGACACCCAAAGTCATACGCCTAATGTCCTGAACATGTGGATGTATGACTTGAGCTGACTACTAGCTTACTGTAGGGTGAACAATGACATATCTTTAATTTTTGTGTGCCTGTTTAGTGTTATCCCACAGGGTACTGTACTTTACATTGCCCTGTGCATACAGAAACCTTATGGTTAGTTGCAACTCAATGCCATCTGACAGGGGCATACATACTTTAGGTTGTTATTAAGTTTAATGAATGAACTCTGTTTCTAGGGGCTCATTCCCACTTGTATTTAAACCGGTTTGTGAGTCGCATTGACACAGGGTCGCTGAGTCAATTCAGGCCGATGCGTAGTTCCCACTGGCATGAGTTCCTGCATGGCAGGGGGTTGGACTGGATGGCCCTTGTGGTCTCTTTCAACTCTATGATTCTATGGAAGTGAATTATTTCATTATTCCATGCATTCATGTCTTTTTTGACACGATTGTCATTCCCACTAGATTTTCACCTCTACAAAATGCATGCTCAGTATTGATTGCAATTGATCCATCCTGGTCTTTTTTTTTTATGTCATATGATGTGCATCTATGCGTCATTGGTGATGCAACCGATGGCTCGTATCAGTAAACCCATGGAAATGCAATAGTGCAATTATACTGTCAATTTTTTTTTTTTGCATACTTCTGTGCTATGTCAGAGATTACCATCCCTTTTTCAATAAAAAGGAAAATTTTTATTATTTGGTGAGCCATGTAAGTCCTTGGTCCTTAGAAGCAAGACCTTTTGTAGGCTCACCAAAACTCATGCTTCATACCATCTCTCTTTCAGTGAGGGCTTATTCGCAGGTGTTCCAGGTTCAGGTACTGTCCATGAAACCCAGCTCCAGAGCTGGTGCTTTTCCCAGGCTGGAAAAAAAAACCCGTTTCAGTGGGTTTCTTTCCCCCACATGGGGAGGGAGAGGAAGGGAAAAGTCGGCGCTCTTTGGCCCTGGCAGCAAAAGGGTGGTTGCCCAGATGGGGAGCTGCCTTGCCTTTATGGGGGGCTAGTTGTGCAGTGGGGCTGAGGGGGTGTTCCTGAAGTGAAGAAGCCCCTTTTTGTGTGAAATAAAACGTCTTTGTTGTGGTAGTGGTTTTGGTTGTTCTGGTAAGAGGAGGTTGTGCTCCAGAGAGGACCAGGAGAAGGAGCAAAAGCCTCTGCTGTGGCTGTGTGTTAAATTTCACCACTCTCTTGACTTGCCATTATCTTACCAAATGTATCTGTCAAACCTCTTTCCTCCCGGCCGCATGGACACTTGGAGAGGAGAGGCAAAAGGCCAGGCCTCAGCTCAAAGAACAGCCTGGGGCTTCTGTTTTTGGTTGGCACTTCATTGCTCTGACAAATGCAGACAAATGCATTTAGGAGCTCAAAGGACAAGGAATGGAAGCATCTCTCCCACAGGAAAAACATAGAGTAAGGAAGAAGAGGAGGAGGAGAAGAAAGGGGCGCCAGAGGGGAAGGGAGTTGCAGAAAGAGGGGGAAATGGCGGATTTCCCCAAAACCTGGGGCGGGATGGGTTACACCTCTTGCCAATCCTCTGGCATAGTCTCCCCTCCAGTGCAATGCGATTGAGATCCGAATGTCGTTCACATTTGTTGAACACAGTTGCAAAGCGATTCTTTTCAAAAGAATCACCAAAAGATCAGTCTTCAAAAATGTGATTCTTTTACGTTTGCCTCACTTCACCTCGATTCTCCATGATTCAGACCGAACGCAGTTGGGTCTGAAATCATTTCCAGTGTGTGAACAAGGCACATACAAGCCATTCAGAAAATCAGTTTAAATCACAGTAGGAATGAGCCCTAAGATTTGCACAGGCAAAGAGCTGGGAGCTAACCTTGCTGTCCTGCATGGGGATTGGTAGCTGGATTTTTGTAACTGATGGTCTAATGATCAACTGCTTGAACATAACTTCTTCAACCCACTAGCAAGTTCTCATGAGTCATTCGGAAATGCCCACTGAAAAATTACTAGGGAGGGAAGGGGAGTGGGGAAAGCACCAAGCTTGTGACAGAATGCATCATTTTAGGACATGGAATATCATACTTCCACACAGTAGGTTATGTCGGGAACTGAAAACATATTTGCTGCGGTTATGTTGGCCATGAAGAAATATGCAACAAAATCCACAAAACAGTGATACTTTTATTGGCTGACCAAAATGCAAAAAATACGTCATGCAAGCTTTTGAAACTCTGCTGGCTGCTTTGACATGCAAAGATGTTAAAAATCATGCAGGAAACAAAAAATGATGATGACAGAGTTACAGGCCTGCATTTTGTCTCAGAAGTTATTTTTGTTGTCTGTTCAGATGGAGGGATCTCAATGCAGGCAAAGGCCTCTCCCCTTCTTGGCCACTTGGGAATTGGAGAAAAAGGGCAATAAAAGACAGGGAATAAAATGTAAAATCCATTAGCAGCAGCAAAGTAACTTTGATCGGGGTCTAGGCTAACTGTCCTGTGTAGGGCTGACTGTTAGGCAGAGAATACCTGTACTGTTAACGTCTAGAAAACCTTTTAGGTGCTGTATAGGTAAAACTTGCCAACTGTAGACGTAATGAAAGAGTTTTACCTTGGCTGGAGATAGAAACCTCAAAGAGTTAAATCTCAGGCCATTAGCTTCCTCTTGTTAAAATTTCCCCTGTGGTGTCAAAATTTGTTATCTCCAAATCCAGGAAACATATTCAGGGTTAGCTGTGTTGGCCATGCAGCAAAAGACAACAACAAATCAAAAATCCACAAAAACAGTGGTAGCTTTATTGGCCAGCCTAGTTCTGTGTGGCCAAGAAGAGGAGTGGCCTGAACTGCCCAAGAGCTGAGTTTAGTACTCCATGCCAACCTGTTTTTCCAGAAAGATGGGGGCAACAATGCCATTAGAAAAAAATACAAGGGGTCCTTAAAAGGACATAGGATATCTATGTTCAAACTGGTTTATTATTGAGTTACCAGTTCAAGACATAATACAACAGAATCCAAAAAACAGTGATACTTTTATTGGTCAACCAAAATGCACAAAATACACCATGCACGTTTTTGGAGCTTCACTGGCTTCTTCACCAAAAATGTTAAAAATCATACAGGAGAAGAAACACGAAGAAGAGTCACATTTTGTCTCAGGTGATATTTCTGCTATCAATTAAGTTGGTCTGGAGGGATCTCAATGCAGGCCTTCACATTTCTTCTCCTGTATGGTTTTGTGATGTTCTTGGGACGTTTTCACACTTGGGGTCTCAAAGCCGCCTGGAAGCAATCAAGAGCCATTCCAGAATGGATCCTGCAGATTCAGACCTGTGAAAGCAGCAGCATTCCGGAATGCCTCTTGATTGCTTCCGGCAGCGGCAACTCAATTCCTTTTTTAAAAAGGAATTAAAAAGAGCGGGGGTGATGCGGGGATGGCACTGGATGGGGCGGGGTGGGGCGGGGCTTGCTGCGACGTCGTGTGAACACGCGGAGCAAGGACCCGGACTGACGCAGGATTGCGCCGGGGATGGCACTGGATGGGGCGGGGCTTGCTGCGACGTCGTGTGAAAACTTTGCAAAGGAGCCGGACTGGGGCCGGATGGAGGTAGGATAGCGTCTGCCTTAAGCCCCGTGTGAAAACGTCCTTGGGCAGTTCAGGATGGTTTCAGCAGCCCAAGCTCAATGGCCTGTCCACAGTCACTTTTAGTGGTCCATTTCTCTCTCTGCAGGCTCTTAAATTCCAGGGTCAGGAAGAAAAAGAGCTGATGAAATCTTTATATATATAAGCTAAGTATGAGTAGATTGCTGAGAATGTGAATACTGTGAATACTTGTTGTTTTACAGTGACAGTGTAAGCCTGGTGCATGTGTGAATGTGGAAGACTGCCAGGATTGTACAGTTGCTAGTATGCTTGACTGATCCTTATAACCTGTGTCTGCATTTTGTAATAGTTCACTTCTTGGACCATAACTTTCAGAACTACCCAGCCAGCTTGGCTAATGGTTGGGTCGTAACATTTCTAAGCTCTGTCTG